AGATGTGTATAATCCACTAGATCACAATAAGGTGATTAAGCTGAGCACGTTATTTGATTCTGGTTGGTTCACATAAAATGACTGGCTTGATCATGATCCACTAGATCACGTTAAATTCTGAATGTGAACCTAGCTACTGCCCGGCAAGAGTTGTTATAATCGTTATATGGATTGTATACTTACGGTTGGTTTTACTTTCTGAATAAAAAGGAACAAATATAATATAGGCCTATAGACGTGATGGAACCATGACTTTTCAAATTATGTTTAGAATAAGCTCGTACTGTTATAATCAAATGACAATATGTAAATACTTTTCATACATATTCACAGTTTCGTAACTAATGCATGCTACACACAGACCCGGAAATAATTTTGGATATAGTGTACGTTGTATACATTTTTTTAAAATTTTCCTTCCTTATGCCTATCTGAGTTTCATTTCTTGGATCAGAATAGAGTACAACATGGCCGATGTCACTTCGCCGTTGATCGTGAATCGTAGACGAAGGGCTACGATACCATTCCGTGAGGTGATGGCTCAGCTGCTTCGGACAGGACTACGGAGCAACGAGGAGGATTCGCCAGCTGTAAGTGAGGACGGTTGCTATGCATCCCTCATCATTTTTATTGCCATCTGTTCTCTGGGATTTGCTATGATTGTTTCGTGCATGATATCGGATCACATATCTTATGGCGTTGTGACGATTTGCATGATCGCTCTGATATTACTAGATATGGGTATCATGCTCTACTTTATCAAGATGCAAAATAAGTGGATGGACGTCTCGTATGGTTTGGTGCTGTGTACTTCAGATGCCTCTCGTCGAGGCAACACGAATCACCTTACTATCAACGAACAATGTGATGCTGTAGGCTCCAGTTTGTCAGCGTCCACAAGGAGAAACAGTCTCTCATTAGTCGGCGTCTATATCTTTGGTAGTACCTCTGTTTTCATGTACTTCGTTCACATCATACAAGTAACAACATGCATACCGTTCTTTTTCAATGAATATGACACACACAGATACGCATATGAAGACGTGCTGTACGCCGTTTTTCGCACTATCGCCAACGCGTTCGTATGTGTTCAGATTGCGTTTTTCGCATGCTTCAAGCATATCAATTTCGTAAGCATTCCGCGGTTTTGCTACTCATTCTTGCTGTTCGTATCCACCAATTTCTTTTTTCTACTTGAGAGCTTGATGTATGCTTTATATGTTCGACTTGACATCGTCCTGCCATGGCAATCTCGACCCACCCCCGATCATATGTCAGGGAACTACGATTTGCTCTGCTATAACGCTACCAGAGTCTTTGATAAAAGTGTTTTCGTCATGCAAGATATCCTCTACCCATTTGCTATTGAATTCTACATTCTCTCTATAGGAATATTTCTTCATCATTGGTTTAATCTCGTGCCAACTGCAAGTAGGCCTACAAGAACGGCTATACTGAGACGTGATACTTTTGACGAAATAAACTCAGACACTGCCACCAATCACCAGCGTAAGATATGTGGTTGTTTCTCCGCTCTTCCACTTGCTGTCGTTCTGTCGTTGCTAATGATCGGCTCCGCTGCTTTACTTTTATTTCAAAATATTGTTGGTATAGTGATCTACGTATATCACATAGTTCGTCTGCTATATCAGAGTCTGTTAATCATACCAGTTTTGTTGGGTGTCCATTATTTGTCGTATTTTCGTTATAACAGAAAACCATCACTTGACGGAAGTGATATGCTTCTTGTTAGCACCGTAACGGGTGCATTTCTGGTTACAGGCTTCACAACTGTGACATCCTCGACACTACTGCACCATTTCGCCACTTCAGATGACTTCGACAGAGAGGTGACCCAAAACTTTGACGTGACCATTTCCGATTCCGTCTTCTGTTTGATATATGCCGTTATCAACTACATCCAGATTATAATACAAACGTGTTTCTTTGTTTCCGCCCGTCGTCGTGTTCCGCCGAGATGCGAAAGCATAACTTTATACCGACTTCGTGAATGCTTCTTGTACATTGCCGTTTGTAATGCATTCATCTTGGCTACGGATACGTTTATCGCCCTTCGTACCTTTAGTGTCGAATCGCCAACTAACGTCTGGTTTTTCGGCGCTCGACTTTGGAGCATCCTGGAGAGTGTTCAGTTTCCGGTGGCGGAGCTTTATCACTTCCATTCCGTCCTCTTGTGTAGCGAACTTTATTTGAGTTTTAAGGTTGATTAAACTTTTATAGTAGGCTTCGGATCGGTTATTTATAATCGTTGATGTTTTCAGATATTAGGCCTAGGTAATTGTGTAACGTTATCTCATTTAAAACAAAAATAGTTAAAAAAAATGTAATGCTGTCCCTGTAGATTACAACACATCATCAACTTTGGGTTATTATGTGTGTTTCACTTGACACTGGATCATTGCATTCCTAGAGCGGTGATAAAACAGAAACAGAAACAAACAGAAACAGAGTTGGGTGTCTTTATGCAGGCGTCACTTTGAAGCCTGGACCCACCCTCCTCAGAGGTCGTCAAATATCGACGTCAACTCGACGTCGAAGCCTAAGGTCAATAAATTGGCTGTTGTAGTGAAGTCCTAACGTTTTTTTTTTATCTTGATTGAGTGAAGCTTTACCTATAAATTTGATGAAAGGTATGAAGCTTTGACGAGTAATTTGTGTTTTCTGGTGATGTGACATCGAATCCACTATTATTATACATTATTATATTATTATTATTATTATTATAGTAATAATAATAATAATAATAATAATAATAATAATGATAATGATAATAATAATAATAATAATGATAATGATAATGATAATGATAATGATAATGATAATAATAATAATAATAATAATAATAATAATAATAATAATCAATAATAATAATAATAATAAGAATAATACGATAGAGAGGGCCATGGAGCGTATATCAGAAATTGCACCTGATCCGTACAGCATAATTCATGTACAGTCTTCTGACATCAAAGACTGGAAGCTTTACAGTCAGAGGAGGGGGATTTTGATGGTAAAAAGGTCCTTGAATGGCCAGGAATTTGACTGGACCAGCTTGACTGGACAAGCGTAAGCCTGATGAGATCAATTGTAAGTACTCCTGTACGGATCAGGTACAATTTCTGATATACGCTCCATGGCCCTCTCTATCGTATTATTATTATTATTATTATTATTATTATTATTATTATTATTATTATTATTATTATTATTATTATTATTATTATTATTATTATTATTATTATTTATTATTATTATTATTATTATTATCATCATCATCATCACTATTATTATTATTATTATTATTATCATCATCATCATCACTATTATTATTATTATTATTATTATATAATAATGTATAATAATAGTGGATTCGATGTCCCATCACCATAAAACACAAATTACTCGTCAAAGCTTCACACCATTCATCAACTTTAGTAGCTATGCATTTGATCTCCCATCACCAGAAAACACAAATTACTCGTCAAAGCTTCATACCTTTGATCAAATTTATAGGTAAAGCTTCACTCAATCAAGATAAAAAAGAACGTAAGGACTTTACTACAACAGCAAATCTATTGACCTTAGGCTTCGACGTCGAGCCGACGTCGATATTTGGCGACCTCCGAGGAGGGCGGGTCCAGGCTTCAGTGACGCTTGCATTAGCGTAGTGGTCGAGGCGCACGGAGTACGGGGTCTTGTAGTGGGAAGTCTTTGATTTTATTTATATTTCTCTATGTCTATCGCATTGTATTCATTCTATATCGATTGATGTAACTTGTGGGTATAGGGTAATTTGTTGGAGAGACAATAGTTTGTTGACTGGATGAACCATGTCTGATTATCATGCTTTTGATAATTTATTGGCGATACAATGATTTGTTGACTGGATGAACTATATTATTATACCTATTATAATATATTGTATAGGCTATTGATGCTGAATATGCATAACATCGGTGGGATAGACATAATATAAAATTGTTTATGGAATTAAAATTGTTTGAAATGGTGTTTTGTGTTCTATAAACTCTCGGTGTGATATTGGCGATCTAGACATGTGACAATCAACAATATTTGAGGAAGGGTGTACGGTATGGTATAGGTTTTTTTCAAAGCGCATTATTAGAAATATGATAATTATAATGGAAATGAAATTAACAAAGACAACGGCAATGAATGAGTGATAACGATGATGGTACTGATAATTGTAGTGATAGTAATAATAATAATAATAATAATAATAATAATAATAATAATAATAATAATAATAAATAACTACATAAATTTTACTTAAAACATACATTATCTTAGTTTCCTCTTAATTCAATAATTGCTGAAGGCAGAAAAGAGTTCCTAAATCTTCCGGTTTTAATATTCTAATTCTTCCGGATTTATTAACCATTATTTCCCCTTGCAAAGGGTGTGTTTTATAAGCTATGATTAAGTTTAGTTTCTTATACATAAGGTGTAGAGAGCATCGAGCTCAGCCATACTCTTTTCTACTACTTTACCAGCTGTTTTAACAACTCTATCTAGATGCAATGGTCGGTCTTGGTTATACTGTTACCCCATACTACAGAAACTAAGTATTGATTGGATAACAGATACGTAAAACAATTCCATAATCTTGCTACATAAATTAAACCTTTTCATCTTCCTTAAAAATACAGACGTATTATACATATAATTTATCAGTATTGAAGTTCCAATTAAGTTTGTTATCCACAAAGTTCCCCAGATATCTGTACTGTGATACAACCTCTACTTGTTTATTATTAATTAACAAAGAATCATGTTGTGTTACGGACTTCCTATGGTCAATAATAATCTGTTTTGTTTTGTCAATGTTTAGCATCAAGTGGTTATTAATGCACCAATCAACGAAAGAATCAACATGCTGTTTATTTTTATCGACATGATCTTTCTCGATTAATCCAACAAGACAGATAATAATAATAATGGTAATAATAGGCCTAATAGTAAATATAATAAAAATAAATATAACAATGTTATAACTACTAACAATAGTACTAATAATAATAATAATAATAATAATAATTATTATTATTATTATTATTATTATTAGTACTATTGTTAGTAGTTATAACATTGTTATATTTATATATATAATAATAATAATTATTATTATTATTATTATTTTTATTATTATTATTATTATTATTATTATTTATTATCATTATAATTTTCAAAATCCAAACTGAATATAATGTTATCGTAAATATATATTTAGAATGGAGAATCACAAGGTTTATGAGTAAACATGAATGGAGGACCACTTGATATCAATGCTCTACGGTATACCCGGTATGCGCGCCCCAGTATAAGCTAAAAACTGTGGTTGAGGTTTCGGTTCTGGTTGCATTTGCAGTTACAGTGCGTTTTAAGTGATTGCATTTATACGGACCCACATGCGTTTGGATGTTACTTCACGGCGGGCTGAAATCAAAACGGATGAATCGCTCCATGGTACGGAGACGCAACTCAAATTCACTATGCAATCACTCTCGTTTAAATAGGTTAATTAACACGAAGCGCAACGGGTAGGATATCCACTTGTCCCGTTGTGGCTCCGTTTGCGGTGCGCTGCGATTTAATAGATAGGCCTCTAACTGTTTTAAACGAGAATTATTCCATTAGTGCGGTTGCGTTGCGTCTCCGTAACCGCATGCGCTTATTTTAATCACTCCATGGAGCGATTCATTTGATTTAAGCCAGTCGTGCGGTGTGGTGAATCCGTGCTAAAAGATCTTTAAAAACGCACGTGCGTGGAATTACTAAAAGCACTGTAAACGTAATCGCAACCGAAGATCAAACCGCAACCGGATAAACGGATTTTTAGCTTGTGTTTTAAAAAAGCTGAAGTGAGTCGGCGTTCCTGGTTTCATCTGGAAGTGAATTCCATAAGGTAGACGCCGCGGAGGTGAATGCCCGTGAGCCGTATGTGATGTACTCTCTGAATAAATAATATAATCACACTTTCCGGTTGCGATGTGATTAACTGTTTTTTAAAATGTTTTAAGTGCATTCCATAAGGTAGACGCCGCGGAGGTGAATGCCCGTGAGCCGTATGCGATGTACTCTCTGAATAAATAATATAATCACACTTTCTGGTTGCGATGTGATTAATTGTTTTTTTAAATGTTTTATTGTTTGTTAAAAATGGACGTTTAAAGATTTACTATAGCATTAATTGCTATGTATTATATATTTTCGTTTTCTTAATTCAGGATAAAAACTTTGTACAAATAAGTTCGTTCTTTTTCCAAACGCCACGTGCGTTTTTTTTTTTTTTTTGTGATGTTTGACAAAGTACTGTAAATGCAATTAAATAAGTACCAATAAAGTAGACAGCGTATACTATTGTAACAAGGTATATTTTCACGTGTTTACTGTTTTCAATACAATAATCAGTGAAATAATAGGCTTACAATACGGTAGGCGATACCGATATCGGGACTAGTACTAGGGAGGAGTGGCTAATCCCCACCAACCCTCGATTCGACTTAACCTTAAACTGATGTAATTTCCAAGGATTTGGATTAATAAAGTGATGTCTATGTCTTTATACATAGATTTATTTATTTTTTTTTTTTTTACAATCAAACCATACGACGAAGACGCAAAGACGCAGACGCAAGCTATCGACACAAACTGTCGCAAACACGATGGTTTTGCGGTTTCCAAGTTTGAATATCCAAAGATACAATGCCGATCGGGGCGTCTGCCCCTGCAGTACCTAAAATGATATAGCTTATATTTTATATTTAGAATATTACGTGCTTCGCTGCCCATCTAACCCAATCGTCCTCTACGATACTTTTCTTTTCATGTGTCCATACCGCCTCAATCTGTTTTCTCATATAGGTTCATGAGTAACTTTAAACTACTAATTAGCTAATTGTGTAAATACATGAGGGCGGCAAATATTTAAATACTATAATGAAACACGGCTAATTATGAGTTAAATAGTTAATTAAAATCTAATATGTACTTTCTTCTATATTCACAATCAGTTTCGTTCTTATTAATAATCACAGACGCGGAAATAACTATGCAGAGGATCACTGTATGCACAGTACGCTCGACGGTGGGCATTTGTAAGATTAAACGAGATAGGCCTATTACTGTTGTGAGTGTTCCTTTATTATTCTTTCTGCGACTCATTTTGTGGGATCGGAATAAAGTGCAA